TCAGTTCTTTGCATCAGGTGGCCAAAGTATTGGAATTTCAGCTTCAATATCAGTCCTTCCAATAAATATTCAGGACTGATTTCCTTTAGGATGGACTGGTTGGATCTCCTTGCAGTCCAAGGGCCTCTCAGGAGTCTTCTCCAACACCACAATTCAAAAGCATCAATTCTTCTGCACTCAGCTTTCTTTATGGTCCAACTCTCACATCCATACATGACTACTGGAAAAACCATAGCTTTGACTAGACAGACCTTTGTTGGCGGAATAATGTCTCTGCTTTTTAATATGCTGTCTAGGTTGGTCATAGCTTTTCTTCCAAGGAGCAAGCATCTTTTAATTTCATGGCTGACTGAACTGAGATGATAGATAATTGTAGGTAAAGCTAAAGGGCAGATGCAGGTCCTTCAAAGTGTTCTCCAAGCAGGATTCACCTTGACCACCTGGGCTTGGGTTATGGTCTCTGGACCCTTTTGAGGCAGTAGAGCTTCAGGCAAGAATATTGGTATAGGTTAGTAATTTCTGTCTCATACCGTTGTGCGAATTCACTAAGACTGTGTATTCTTTGTAAACCATATAGCAGATTGCATATGTAACTACTCACGTGTGGACAGAGACGAGGGTTCTGGCTGACTGAGAAGAAGGCGTCATGCAGCTTGTTCATCTTCTGCTCACCAGCCATCTTCTTCTGAAAATGGTCAACAGTGGGGTGTGGGCTTTGAAAAGACCTTGTTAGAGCCAAGATGGCTGCAGTGTTGCCCGACCTGACAGCAGAGTGAGCCTTTGGTGGGGTGAAGTGACTGCTCATCCACAGTTCAGCAGCTCAGCTCACTCCTCTCCCGTTAGGAAGGACTGACTTAGTCCCCAGGATAGGGGTAGGGATTTGTGCTGACTCAGCAGCTAAATGACTCTGTGTGGCTAAGAGTTTCTCTGGTCATCTTTCTTGGAGGCTTCAGCAGAAGAAAGAATGATGAGGGCAGCCTAGTGTTCAGTCCCAAACACGGCAAGTTCTCCTGTTCTGTTCTCGCCCCGGGGAGGCGAGGGACTAAAGACTCAGCATCGTGTAAAAATGAACTGCATCTTCCTACTATTTGAATTTAAATACCTTGGGGCGTAGATAGCCTAGGACATTGCAGCATAGCACTGCAAGTCTGTGATTTGCTGATGTTCCGAAAATACCTTTAGAATGCAAAACTTTACTGAGAAATCATTTGTGCACAATAAAATATATCCATTTGATGTATTTTCCAGTTGTATATACACTGAAAAGCAGTCCCATAATCAGGATGAACAGCATCTTTATTATCCCCAAAGATTCCTAGAGCCCCTTTGTAGTCTGTTTCTCCTTCTGCTCCAGCCCCAGGTGACCGCTGACATGCTTTTTGTTACTATAAATAAGTTTTCATTTCATACAAATAGAATAATACCACCTGTATTATTTTGTTGATGTCTTGTTTCACTCAGGATACATTTTTTATTGTGGTAAATAATATATAACATAAAAGGTACCATTTTAATCATTTTTAGTCTACAGTGGTCCACCCACATTGCTATGCAGCCACCAACCTTATTCAGAACAGTTTTCCCCTTGCAAAACTAAAACTCTGTAACCATTTAACACTAACTCCCCCTTCCTCTCAACCCCTGGCAACCACCATTGTATTATTTGTCTTTGTCAATTTGAGTACTCTGTGGTGTTGGAGAAGACTCTTGAGAGTCCCTTGGACTGCAAGGAGATCAGTCCTGGGTGTTCATTGGAAGGACTGATATTGAAGCTGAAACTCCAATACTTTGGCCACCTCATGCGAAGAGTTAACTCGTTGGAAAAGACCCTGATGCTGGGAGGGATTGGGGGCAGGAGGAGAAGGGGACGACAGAGGATGAGATGGCTGGATGGCATCACCGACTTGATGGGCATGAGTTTGAGTAAACTCCAGGAGTTTGTGATGGACAGGGAGGCCTGGTGTGCTGTGATTCATGGGGTTGCAAAGAGTTGGACACGACTGAGTGACTGGACTGAACTGAACTGAACTGAGGTACCTCAGATAAGTGGAAATCTTGCAGTATTTGTCCCTTTGTGCCTGGCTTATTTTATTTAGCATATCTTCAAAGTTCATCCATGTCATAGCCCGTGTCACAATTACCTTTTTAAAGCTGATTAACATTCCATTATATACAGAGAGCACATTTTGTATATCCATTCATCTCTCAGTAGATGCTGGGGTTGCTTCTACCTTTGTGCTGTCGTGAGCAGTGCTGCTGTGAACTTGGGTGTAGGAATATCTCTTCTGGTTCTTGCTTTGAATTCTTTAGGGTATGTATGTGGTAATTCTGCGTTTGACTTTTTGGGGAACCTCCATACTCTTCCACAGTGGCTGCGCCATTCTACAATGTTCCTTTTTAAACATGCAGTTTTGCCTTAGACCTGCGTCTTGTTCTGATGATCACTTTGCTGCTGCTGAGTCGCGTCAGTCGTGGCCGCGTCTGTGCGACCCCATAGACGGCAGCCCACCAGGCTCCCCCGTCCCTGGGATTCTCCAGGCAAGAACACTGGAGTGGGCTGCCATTGCCTTCTCCAGATGATCCCTCTATGTTCCAGAGAACCAGTTAGACATATCCTTTGACTTCCCATAGCCCTGCATGATAATGGTCTTTTCCTTCAGTATCCCGAGCCTCTGCCTTTCCAGTCCTTTCATACCGATGTAATTGCTCAGAGAATGGCTCAGCTTTAATAACCTCAAGTGAAATTGCATGGCTCACTTTCTATTAGCTACAGCCATTCCCCTCTGTGTCCTACCTGTCTTTCATTAGCTGTAGTTATTATACAACCTGCCAGTATCCTGTGAACAGTATCAGGATAAAACCACCCACATCCTGTTAACTCCTATTATACACCCACCTTAGTCCTCGTCATTGAATCTGTTGTGCTATACATCCTACTTGTATGCATGTAACTGTAACTGTTAAATAATCTGGCCTATTCACTATCCCCTAATCTTTTGCAAACATCATCTGACATCCTATTCATAATGTCTTCAGTGCTGACTCACTGTTCACTTGTTATTAAATCCAGGTATCAAAAGCCCACCAGGAACGGCATACATCATTAATTGGGGGGGAGGCTAGCTCTTGTGAATGTACAGTGTGTGCAGGGGGCTTTAGTGTAGGATCTTTTCCTTTGAGCAATATGGTACAGCCCACCAGTCTTTGTAAGTCATCTTAATGGAGCGAGAGAGAGAGTGTGTGTGTGTGTGTGTGTGTGTGTATGCGTGCGCGCATGCATGCATGCGTGCATGTGTTTGAGGATGTGGGGATAAGGGAGTTTTCCAGGCACATAGGATTGGAAAGCCTGGTAAGAAGGGACAGCATGGAAGAAGATGATTTACTGGGGAAGGCGAGCGGGAGAGAGGACTGCAGGATGACGTCAGCGTTCCCTTGGTGGGACAGAACCCTTTTGGATGCTGTGTTTTTTGTTAATGGTTGACAAGTCCGGGTGACTGTGCAGCATATCAACCTTGGCATGTTGCCAGAATGACCGCCCACCCTCGGTTCTTTTCAGTTTTATGACCCCGTGCTTATCTGAGCTCTGAGGAAGGGGGGCTCTGCCCCCAGCACGCCCCCGACACTTGGGTCAGAGCTGCCTAGTTAGCAGCTGCTGCAGGCGAAGACCTCGTTCCTTAGGAACGAGGAAGGACCACAGAGGAAGACGTTCAGTCCAGAACAGGGCCAGGCCCACAGCGGAGGCCCCTCAAGTGTTGGCTGAACACGGTGGCAGGGCGACTCGTGCAATCTGTCTTTGCCTCGTCATCACCGATCTTAACTCCTGAGGTCAGGAAAGGAGAATGGGTTCTTGGCAGCCATCTAGCACACGCTGGGGTTACTGTCTGTAGGCACACGCGTGTGATAAAAAGACTAATGAGCTGTGTGGACATAAGAGAGTTCTCAGAAAATCCTTTGCCTTTCTGAAACACTTTTTAAAAACGCTACCAAATCTGTGATCTTCTTTGATTCCACATGCTTTCCTGTATGTTGGGCCTCCCATTGTGTGGATGAGAAGCTGAGATGGTGCTGGGGTCTCCAAGCAGAGTCAGGACCGCTGCCGTCTTGCTGCCTCTCTGCATGGCATGCAGTGACACGAGGGGGAATTGTCAGGGCCCAGCAGTGGTCCAGACTGAATTCACCTCTGGTCAGGGCTCCCTACACTTGTGTGTGCGGGGCAGAAGCTTCCACGGGGATGTCCCTTGACAGCCAGAGGGCCAAGCCCAGCTGCGCATCCATCACCACAGCCCAGCTTTGTGTAAATGGAACCTCTTTGTTCTCCCACCTCCGCAGTCTCTGGTTCCTGTGTTTACCAGACACCTGCTGATGCCTCGCCCTACACAGCTGAAGTCCGGGTCTGCCTTCTGTTCCCGAAGCCCCCTCCCCTCTTCCTGCTCCCTGAGGTTACTGAGGACCCGGTGTAACAGGTCCCCTGGCATCTGGGTCTGAGCCACGGAGGTGACGGATCTGAGGGCCTCCAAGCAGGATGGGTCCATCTTGAAGCTGAAAAAAGTACCTGGTTATCCTGGCTTCTGTGTGCTTCTGGATGGTGTGCAGTTCAATGGTCAGCGTGTGTTTTGAGATCTACTGTGGGTCTCGCGGACTTTTCATCTTGTTTTGTTATTAAGTGCTTTAGTCTTTTAGATATGTATTCTTCAAAAGCTTGTCCTGTTTCTAAACATAATTTGTGTGTGTCATAGGGCTCCCCTCATTTTATGATGACCCCAGTGGGCATGCAGGGGTCCACTTGCTGGAGGATGACCCCAGTGGGGAAGTAGGGGGTCAGCCTGCTGGTGTTCCAGTTTGAACACCATGAGGTGACCTAGGAGACATGTGTCTCAATGCCTAAACTGAGGCCCATGCTGTTTCTTAGGTTGCCTTCTCTGGAGGGGACGGTTTGCAGCAGTGGGAGGCCCTGCCCCAGCCACGTCTCACCCTCTTCCGTCTCTGTCGTCCTCCTGCAGGCTGGCCGTGTGTGACCCTGTCTGTGCTGGGATTCTTGTACTGCTACTCCCACGTGGGCATCGCCTGGGCCCACACGTACTCTGGCAGCTAACTGCGCCAGGCCTAGGTCCGCCCTTGTCATTGGTTTCCAGGGCACACGGTGCTCCACCGTCACCTCGAACCTCAAGGTAACCTCCAGGGGACCTGCTCATCTTTTGTTGAAGTTACCTCACCCCAAGACTGGAAACTTGAGCTCTCGTAACTTTGGGAACTTAGAGATCCTCTTCCCATCCTCCTCCTTTGTCTATAGAGTAAGCTGGACCCCAAGCAGTAAAACGTCTTGCCTGGCCGTAGATGGTGATGTTGTGGTCCAGACCCCAGGTTCTTTGTCCTTTACCAAGAATTAAATGCAACAGGTGTTTCTTGATTGAGGCATATAAGTTCTGATTAGTGATAGGCCTGTCTTCCACTGGGCAGTGTTTCTGAAACATGTTGGGTCAGTGGCATTTAAGTGGCCCCTTCCCTGCTTCCTGTAGTGCAGTTTGTAGAACCAGCACTGAGGGGAGCATCACATTTTAGCTCCTTGGCAGGGGCGTGACAAAGCCACAGCTGTGTTGCTAACACCTGGGTCAAGGGAGATAGAATATAGATGCCAGTACCTAAGGAGGGCTGTTACTTGAGTTCATCATTCATCAGGGTGATCTCCATTTGGTTGCTTGTTCCCTAGATCTGCAGGGAAGTATAAACAGAACAGTTCCTCTACCTGACAGTTAATTATTTCCTAGTAAAGAAGTATAATTAAAAAAAAAAAAACACAGGGGACAGTGTATGACAGACAGGTGCTACGGGGCAAGTCAAAGAGGGTAAAGAGGACTTCTGTGGTCTCTCCTCTCTCCATGCGGGTCCCAACAGTCCCCTTCCCATGAGTGGTTCAGCCTCAGTGGTTTATGCTGTTTGTTTCCAATAAAATGGAGCCCTTCCTATCATACCGATACTTCATATTTTTGTAAGATTGTCTTGAATATTTTTTGAAGAAAATGTTTAAAGTCAAAACACACTTAATTCTGAATTATTCACTCTTCTGGAAGGATGCTAACAGGCCACTAATAGCCTCAAGTAGTAGATAATTCAGAATACTTCCATTTGGCTTTGCTTTTTTTTTTTTTTCCTGAGGGGTAGAGGGTAAGTGAAGCAGCTCTAAAATTTGAATCCATAGTGTACCCAATTATGGGAGAATAGAGCAACATCTCAAGCACATGAATTAATTGTCATTGAGTAAAAGGTGCACGCGGACCTGGTCTGTCCCCACCGTCTCCTGTTAGTCATTTGGTATTGTCCTTGTGTCCTGGCTGCGGTTATTAGCTCAATGAGATTTCAACTCCCGGAGTGCAGGACCCGTCATTTTGCTGGCGTCCTTTCTTCCCTGCTTCTCTGCTTGAAGGCGAGTGGGGAGGGACCAGATGTGGATGGCAGGGGGTAGGCACACGCTGTGTTAGCTGCGGCAAAGGACAGAGGCTGGAGTGGGGCAGGCAGACCAGGGCAACAGCGGCCTTGGCAGCTGGCCTGATGAAGGAGGAGGAGACAGGCTGGCAAGTCCAGGTGCTGGGAAGTTTTCAGGAGATGAGGTTAAGAAAGGGTGAGCAGTCAGATAAATACAGTAAAACTTCAGGGACTCTTATTCAAGAGTTGTAATCTGCCAGAGGGCTTTTAATTGAAGTTTATAGAGGAACAAAATCGTGGGAAGATAATTGCAGGGAAATGTCTAATATATGGGGTTCCCAGGTGGTGAAGTGGTAAAAGGTCCGTCCGCCAGTACAGGAGATGCTAAGAGACCTGTGTTTGACCCCTGGGTCAGGAAGGTCCCCTGGAGGAGGACATGGCAACCCACTCTAGTGTTCTTGCCTGGAGAATCCCATGGACAGAGGAGCCTGGTGGGCTACAATGCCTGGGGTTGCAAAGAGTCAGACATAACTGAGCATGCACACACGCGTCTAATATATGTGTATATATAAATAGTATATATTTATATATGTGTTTAGTTGCTCAGTTGTGTCTGATTTTTTTGTCACCCCATGAACTGTAGCCCGCCAGGCTCCTCTGTTCATGGGATTCTCCAGGCAAGAATACTGGAGTGGATTGCCATTCTCTTCTCCAGGGGATCTTCCTGACGCAGGGATCGAACCCGGGTCTCCTGCATTGCAGGCAGATTCTTTACCATCTGAGCTACAGGGAAGTCCTTATACATATAAATATAATATAAATAATGCAAAGTATTTCCAACTCTTTGCAGATGCCATTTTTATAAAAACAAATAGGCTTATTTACTCATTTAAACTATACTGGAAGAATAAGTTAATAAATTTGAAAGTAATAATCCTGAATTTCTTTTAAGCTATTATATGATTGAGTGGTTCTCAGGAATGAGTCCATGATTACTGTGTTTAGCTATATGTTTGAGGCCTAATTAACTAATATGTGAATAACCATCCAGGACCACTGTTATCTTAACCTCTTGCTTTTCTCCCACTGTAATATGAAAATAATAATGTCTGTTTTCATGCATATGAACTCAAATTCTTGGAGTTGCTTTAAATGAAGGACTCCTGAGGTGTCTGAGCAGACACAGCAGCTCCAGCTGAAGGACATCTGACTTGTCACTTTCCATACTTATCAGCCCTGGGCAACTTCAAGCACAGGACAGCGACCGGTCCCAAGGTCACTTCTAGCCCCAGGATCCTCTGACTCCAGCCTAGTTCTGTGGGCACACCGGAGCGCTCCAGGCATGATTGCCATGATGATTTCCAAGGAGGCAAGGAAAACATCTGAAGGACAGCCAAATATTGGTCATCTTGACTAATTCCTGGGACCATGCATGAAGATGGAAAAGTATTTCATTGTTTCCTCAGATTAATTTATTTGAAAAGTGACAGCAGAAGCCCTTTGTTCTTAATAGTAAAGACTGTAGACTTAGAAAATAAATTAATCATATATAATATAGTATAATCTATATATTGGGAGAATGGTAATTTAGTGGGAGGAAGTTTCCCCTTAGAGAAAGAGCCTACTCATTGCTTCTTTGTTTAAACTAATATAATGATTGACTAAGTAGTATAAGAAATTAATATAATGAATTTCTTTTCTAGAAAATGTCCTAGAACAAATCCCATACAGAAAGGCCAACTACTGAGAAGCCAGATTATCTCGATGGTGCTGGCCTTTCTCAGTGCATGTTGAGATGCCTCTCTGAAGCCTTTCTTCATTGAAATTGTTCTATTTTGGAGCAAGCCAGCAAAATTCCTTTTTTTTTTACTCATTGAAACCCATTTGGCATCCAAAATGTAACATCTATTACTTGGCTCTGTGTTACTTAATCCTTGTGACTAATTATAAAAACCATATTTACAGAGAAAGATGTTTTTCACCACTGAGGCACTCTAAAGAGTACAATATTTAGTGCTTTATTAGGTGAGACTTTTGAAATGAACATCAGTCATTTGGAACTTTAAAAAAGTCATCACCCTTAGTTTTATTATGCTTTCCTGCAGTGTTAAAAAAAAAAATAGGGTGTGTAGAGAAAGTCACTAGAAATACTGGATTTATACTGCAGCCCAATGAAATCAAGCAGAGGCCTTGAACGTGGCTTGTGAATCACAAATTCCTCATCCCTGAGGTAAGTTCTACCGTCTATCAATAGAAAAGCGCCATTTGTGAAGTGTGGGCCATCGGTATGAGATAAGGGCTCCTGTTGGCAGTGTTGTGGCGGATCGTGCTGTGAGCAGGAGACAGTATCGGTTGAAACCACAGCAGAGCCGAATCGGTGCTGATGCACAGCACTGCTGCAGGGACAAGCAGTTCTCCACCGTCATAGCTTCTGAGACGATCAGTGAATAAAGCATAGGTCAGAACTCATATTGTTGGCACTGAGTCTTTCCAGAAAGACTCAGTTTTTTGACCGTATGTTTTAAAAGGCAGCAAAGCATGAATATAGAGGTTGCAATCTAAATTGTTCAGGATGAAAAGTGTTCAGATCTAGGTGGAAGGTCAGCTTCAGCTCTGTGTTCAGTCAATGTGCTGTACCACAGTTTCCCAGCGATGCCAGGTTTGGAAGGCATCTCTGTACGTCTCATAGCATTGATAGCTCTATTTCAAGATCATATGACAAAGCACCTTCCCAGCCATTCTCTCACTGTGCAGAATCTGGCACACAATCTTGGTGTCTCTAGCATTTTAAAGTTCTCCAAAAACCACAGTCATAGGTGCTGTCCAAATTAGAGGTCCCCAGGCTCTTGAAAAGGTCTATGAATGTACCACCTTGTTCTGTCATCTTAGGTCTGAACACCTAACTCAGTGCCTGGAAGTTTATAGAAGGAAAGGCAAAAGCAATCATGTATGATCATTATAAAATAGTTTATTTACCATAATAAATAAAATTAAACTTTTTTTTTTCTTTTTACAAATACCACTTGTGCTTATTTAAAAATGTTGAGAAGGGATTATCAGTGGTGGGGCCACCCGTTCCTCTTCACATCCCCGGGTTGCAAGTCATACAGCAAAGTTTTGGCAGCGTCCTCAGCTGACCACAAAAATAGTATCAGCTCATTTGCACTTCTGTTGACTCATGCTCCTTTGGACTAAATGACAGATGCAAAGGAAGAAGAGAAACCCAATGGAGGATTTGGCAGGACTCGATGGCAAGTGTTAATACAAGGAGGAGTCCCAAAATGACGAACTGCTCGTGAGCAGAAGTGTCCTCAAAAGACTGGCGAAATGTGGGGACAGTCTCCGACGGATGCACAAACACAGTGTCTGAACAGTGAGAATACATTCATTGGGGAGGGGCAGGGGGGTTTCATCTTTCTTCATATAAAAGCAGTTCATATCCTGATACAAGATCCGTGAACGTCTCCTTGAATGACTAGTGGATCTGTTGGCTGACTCCAAAGTCACAGATAAAAAGACAATGGCTCCAAGAAAAGTTTCCTGGCAGGTGGAGGGGAGGGGGCGGGCAGCCACCCACCGATCTGGCACCTGCGGGGTAGTCAAGTCCAGTTCTAGAGGTTCCAGAATAAGTCCGATAGGCTCATGTGAGAATGAAGTTTCATTTGAAACTAATTTAAGCTGGAGGCACAGTCAGTCAGTTAAAACATCTCAACATGAACACCCTGGGTGCTGTCTCTGATGGCTGCGGTTCATGCTGGGAGGACGCTGAAATCTCATCCAGTTAGAGGGCACGAGAGCTGGTGAAGGTCATCTTTACTGATGCAAGCGAGAAGGCAGTGCAATGACGGAGTGACAGAGGAGAGGCCGTGTGGGGGCCTGAGCGGGCCGTCAGGGGTCTCCTCTTTAAGCAACACTACGTGAGGAGGGGGGGAGAGGGAAAAAGTGTTGGCAGCGCCATCACGGTTGGAGTTCCATTCAAGGGTCTTAAGGCTAAACATCTTTAGAGCAAAACACTGTACAGTCTGTTCATCACACAGACATCAACTCGTATGGCCGCTAGGGCTCCTGAAATTTCCCAGAGGGTGCCTGTGCCATCTGGTGGTGAATGCAGCAAGGGTTTCTGAGGCTCCTTCCTACACCTGCCTGGGGCTTCTAAGGCATTCATTTCCTCCCCACCCAGGCTTGGGTGCAAAGTTTAACAGCTGGTTTAACACTTTCACCTTCCACTTACCAATCCAGGAGAGGCAGGTGGCTGGATGGAGTGGTGTGATGGAGTGTGTTTTTCCTCTGAGCTGGGCTAATGCCACTTCTGAAAAAAGATTCTGGGAAAGGGCCCTGCCACAGGACACGCCCTGTGTCACAGCACTTAGGATGATCTAGAAGGCTGAGGGTAAAACAAGCCCAGGGATTGAATAACAAGAATTGGAAACAGCTTTGAAACACGTGGGCCCATGTGGCTGTGGCATTTTTGGAAACCACTGGTTCCTGACTACTGGCTACAAACTCTGCACACAGATTTAATCTGAGGTCCGGAATATAAAGAAAGGTCTTAGAAGTAATCAAGCCAGAGGATGTGAAGGTGAGGGAGGGGGATGGGTGACAGTGGAGCTACAGTGATTGTGCACCAGACCAGGGTTTCTCAACCAGATGGCTGCGCCCCGCTGCCTCCCACAGGAATCTCATCCTACCCAGAGGAGAGGCCTCTGCGGGTGTATGGAACAGCAACACTCATTGCTGGAGAGACTGCCCTCCACCAAGAATGCGCATTCCATCTTGTTGGCCATCTTAATTCACAGACTCAACCCTCACCCCCCCACCTCCGTCAGCAGGGAGGGAGGGGTACCAGCAGGACCTCCTTCTGCAACGTGTGTCAAGGATACTCTCTGGGAAATGGAGCCTCCCTATGAATGACATCCAGAGTAAGGAACTGATGATGTAAGAGATCAAGTAACCAGCAATTCCTGGGCAGTGGTATAAAGACACCATGTCCCCTTCCCTCAAAAAGGAGAAAAACAGCTCAGGTAAGTCTACATCCCTCAGCATAACTTTTCTACACTCTAAAGGTTGAGCCCACTATCCAAACAGTGTTTGTTTTCCCTAATCTCTCTTCAGCCACCAGATAATGGTTTACAGTGGAAGGTTGAGTTGGTGGTATCTGAAGCTCGTGGGCCTTGCTTGGGAAGCCAGAGCAGCATCTGGGCAAAGGTAGGTAGTAAGCACAAAGCAGCCTGTGGCCAAGTGCATGGTATAAAAATACAAGGAAAGGAGGTTTGGCCCATTTAAGAAATGTTTTTGTTTTTTTACCCAGAGAGAATCATTATAGCAAAAATCCCACAAATCCTTAAATGGAGAAGCCTAAAAGCCTATGCAGCCCTACCTGTGTTTCTCTGCAACCCCAGGAGCATGGGTTGCAGGCCCCATGACCCTGAGATGAGTGGACCCAGGCTTCTCGCCATGAGTTCAGTTTGAATCCTAGGAGTTGATTAAGCAATGCATTCATGAAGCTTTATTTCTCTCTCCAATCTGGTCTGGACTTCAAAGCCTCACACACGAGCATCCTCGCCCCTCAGGCAGAGCTGGAGGGAAGGGCCCACAGGGCCCTGGGCAGGGGCTTCTGAAGCTGGGTGTGAGTGTTCTCAGGGCCCTCAGCCTGCCTTCCCTGCTGGCTCAGACGGTAAAGAATCTGCCTGCAATGCAGGAGACCCGGGTTTGATCCCTGGGAGAAGGAAATACTCCAGTATTCTTACCTTGAGAATCCCATGGACAGAGGTGCCTGGCAGGCTACAGTCCATGGGGTCACAAAGTCGCGCACTACTGAGTGACGAACACTTTCACTTTTCCCCTGCCTTACAAGTGGTAAGTCCTAAACCTGGGGAGCAGGTTGGGAGGCATGTTTAAGGAATGGCAAACTGGAACATTTCAGGGACAGCTGGCAGATGCGATTCCAGGCTCGGCCCCAAGGACTAGCTGGCAGCTTCTCAAAGAGGCTGAAAGCCCCACGGCTTACTCAGAATCATTAACAGTCATGACTCTTGGCCCTGGGGAATTTCGCTTCCCCCTGTTTGCTGCCATCTGAGGCTGAATCCAGTAGTGTCTCAGCCTCAGGAAGCCTGGGGGCACCCATGTAAACCTCCCGGGAGAAGCTGAACAAGTGTGCGTGGCCCCTGAGGAAGGACCCTCACCTGGACCTCAGTCTCTGCTCCCCAGGGCAGTCTGCGCCAAGCCAGCAGCCGGGAGAGGACAGGCCCATTCCACAGGGCCAGCTGAGGTCCAAGTCCTGGGTCAGGCCGTGGCCACTGGGCGGGACTGAAGGGGGAGGTAGGCCCAGACAGGCGGCTTTCAGAAACGCTAGACACCTTTAGTTGGGCAGGTTCCCCTACCATTGGGATCCAGCCTCTATCTCTACTGCAAAGCAACACCAGCAACGCACAGGACTGCCCCAGTGCAACGCGTGCAAAAGGTGAGTGCCCTGGATGATACCATGCTCACTCACAGTCCAGATCACCTGCCCTCCTAACTCCGCTCTCTCCAAGCTGAGTTTTCAATTTCCAAACTTGCTTATCAATTTTTAGGGTCCTGATGATCCCTCTTTCCTTCCTCAGATGCCCCTGAAAGGAGTCCAGACTTAGGAACAAACATGACCCCAGGTGACTCTGAGGCAGTGTCCTCTGAGCATCATAGTTTAGGGACGTGGACGGCCCATAGCTGGCTCCATGACCATCGTTCTAAGCTTGGACCTTCCATGTAGACCACAGCTCCACAGTCACGTGAGAGAGACAATCTGGAAACACCTGCCTCTGTCTCTCTTCTCTCCTGAAGCAAGTACAATCATAGACCTGCAGTCTCTTGGTTTCTCTCCAAGTCCTACTGACTTTTGTATGAGATAAAAAGATTAGCTTTAAAATAAGGCCAAGCCAGGCTCCCGAGTGTCCTATAAATGAACCCATGCAGTGGACAAAATACAAACTTCTCTAGGGACAGTCCCAGTGAGAATCATCATATAAACATTGCTCATTACAATCATTTTACTGAGGTTTTGTGTGTGAGTGTCTATGTATCTGTTTTGCTAATAAAGCAAATCCGGGCTCATCACCCTTCCTGCCGATGCCCCGTACCCTGAGGAATGCCACAGGAACACTTGGGAAGAGGTCAAGAAAGAAAAGAAGCAAAGGGCCTGTGTGATGTAGCCAATGGCATGGAGCTGGGCCAGAGATTCATCTGGAGCCCACAGGGCCCTCCCCTTCTGCGCTCCAGATCACAGCCCAGAGAGTCTCTGGCTCCCCACCGCCAGGCTCCAGTTCTTGGCTCATCTCTTTGGGGAAAACAGACCTGAAGATTCCCGGCTCTAAGTGTCTAGAGGAGGCACCCAAAGCCAGCTCAGTTGCTTTTCAGCCTTAACTGTTCCGAGACAGGAAGTCAAGAGGCTCTGCCCTCCCTGTCCCTAAAGCTCCCCTTGTCCCAAGCTTGTTACAAATGACGACGGTACAAAAATAGACGGTGACATCAGACACAGGCTGTCCAAGGACAGGGAGCGCTGGGAACTCCCGGTGCCCACCGCAGTCTCTGAGGGTCTTGGCAGAGAAGCCCAGCGTGCTAATACACACGCGGGGTCCCTGCTGCTGTCCCACCCATCCCCAGTGGCTGCTGTCTCTTTCCTGGTAGTTTTTATGTTAGTTACAAACATCATGGCAGTAAGAAAAAATTAAAAGTGAAGGAAAATACCCTTTACACGGCATGCCCCCCTCTTCCAAAACTGTGCAGAGAGTGTTCAGATGCAGCTCCCATCTTGCAGGGTGGGGGCGCACGCCTCTCCCCGGATCTTTCCCTGGAGAGAGACTGCCGAAGCGACTGGTCCCACTTGCGTTTTCTGTTGGGAAAGGCCTACTTTCAAAGTTGTTGGTCATGTAGGTGTGTGGTGGGGGGGCGGTGTCTAGGGCAGGACGGTAGGTTTTTGTCATCTTGGACTTTTTCTTTTTTTTTTTTTCAACAGACCTCTCAGCTCGCGCCAAAAATGTCTCTCTCTGACTCTGGGGACTGGGGCCTCGATATTTCAAACAGCTCCTGAGGCGACTGAGAGGATCTTCTGGAAGTTAATATCCTGAGTATCTCAGCGAGCTGTTTCTCAATGTTCGTCATCTTGGTGTTCAAGGCCTTGATGTCCTCCTTGAGTTCATGCTTCACCTCCAGGACGGTGGCCTGCAGCGTCTGCTCAGGAATGGGGTAGAAGGAGTGCTTGACCTCCGCCAAGATGGGGCTCCGGTCCTGGGGGCTTCTGGCCTCACCCGCGTTGTCCAGACGCAGGTCGCTCTTGGTGATGCCGCTGTCGCACGAGTCCGTCTTCTTGAGCGTGGCCTCGCCGGCGGCCTTCGTCCTCTCCGGGAGCGTCTCCATGGACTCCGCCTTGGACACCTTGCCCCAGTCCTCGGCCTTCCCACAGGCATCCTTGAAGCGGGCCCAGCCCTTGCGCTTGGCGCAGTCGGCCCCGCCGGCCTTGGGGCCCAGACTCTCGGCCCCGGGTGCCTGCAGCCGGGCGCGGTCCAGCCCCATGGGGGCGGCGGCGGCGGCCGGGAAGGCCACGGGCGTGGCGGGGCTCTCTCGGACGGTGACGACGCTGGCCTTCGCCAGGCCGTGGTGGCTGTGCTCGGTGAGGACGCTGCCCTTCTCCACGTCCAGGTCGTCCAAGTCCCGGCCGCCCCTCTCCGCGGCCAGCCTGGCCTCCTTCTGCTGGCGGAACCTCTGGAAGAGCCGGCGGACGGGGTGGTCAGGCGGCAAGATCAGGGGGGCCTCATTCTTCCGCTTCATGCGCTCCTCCTCCTCCCGTTTCACGTCACTGATCTTCCGGAACACGATCTGCAGGGAGACACGGCAACAAGCCCTGTTAGGCCAGCTGTGGCGCCAGACCACCTGACCTGCCTCCTGAGAAACCTGTGCGCAGGTCAGGAGGCAACAGTTATAACTAACGGGACCTGGAGCAGCGAGCTGGTCCCCAGTTGGGAACGGAGTGCGTCAAGGCTGTATTCTGCCACCCCGCTTATTTAACTGCTATGCAGAGTACGCCATGTGAAATGCCGGGCTGGGTGAAGCACACGCTGGAATCAAGGTTGCAGGGAGAAACATCGATAACCTCAGATATGCAGATGACACCAGCCTGGTGGCAGAAAGTGAAGAGGAACTAAAGAGCCTCTTGCTGAAAGTGAAAGAGGAGAGTGGAAAAGTTGGCTTAAAGCTCAACATTCAGAAAACTAACATCATGGCATCCAGTCCCATCACTTCATGGCAAGTAGATGGGGAAACAATGAGAGACTTTATTTTCTTGGGCTCCAAAATCACTGCAGATGGTGACTGTAGCCATGAAGTTAAAAGATGCTTGCTCCTTGGAAGAAAAGCTATAACTAACCTAGACAGCATACTAAAAAGCAGAGACATCACTGCTGACAAAGGTCTGTCTGGTCAAAGCTGTGGTTTTTCTAGCAATCATGTACAGATGTGAGAGTTGGACCATAAAGAAAGCTGAGTGCTGAAGAACTGATCCTTTTAAACTGTGATGCTGGAGAAGACTCTCAAGAGTCTCTTGGACATCAAGGAGATCAAACCAGTCAATCCTAAAGGAAATCAACCCTGAATATTTATTGGAAGGACTGATGCTGAAGCTCCAATGCTCTGACCACCTGATGTGAAGCACTGACTCATTGGAAAAGACCCTGAACCTGGGAAAGATTGAAGGCAGGAGGAGAAGGGGACGACAGAGGATGAGATGGTTGGATGGTATCACTGACTCAATGGACATGAGCATGAGCAAGCTCCAGGAGCCAGTGATGGACAGGGAGGCCTGGCATGCTGCAGTCCATGGTGTCACAAAGAGTCAGACAGGAATGGGCGAGTGAACAACAGCACTGGTCCAGGCACCAGTGATTGGCAAGGGAGGATCCAGACTTACCCTGACAGTCCTGCCAGCCCACAGGGATGCCTGATGTTTTGGGCATGGGAGGCCCATGCTGAATCCTGAACAGCATAGATGGGGAGACAGGATGCCCCAGGGCAGGGGTGGCTGCTGTGCCTCACTCAGCCCTCTGGAGATCCCTCTGAAGGCTCACCGAGCAGTGGGGAGAGGCCTTTGATAGACAGTCAGGGAGCTGAACCAGACTGACACCCCGCTCTTGTGAGTGCAGGACTTCCTGAGCAGTTTTCAAGTTTGTTTGAAAAAGTAATCCTGCTGGGAGCTGGGGTGAGTCAGCACCTTTAACTGCCTCTTCTGGGTTGCGTTTCAGGAGCGCCTAGCCCCTCTCCAGCCCTGACCAGGCGCCCCTCAAGATCCCCGTGACACGGTTGGGGGGAGGACAGGCCTGGAGGGAGGTAGGCCACCTGGAGTCCTGACAGCACAGAGGATGGGAGTCCAGTGGCTTAAAAGAGCTTAGATTGACGAGCAAACAGATTTGTAAAATGTCAATTCTCAGTGGTCTGAGTAAATAGAGAGACTGAGGTATGAATCATAGCAAACTGTGGATAAACCCAAAGAGATTTTGGTTTTAAATGAATTTAGACATGCGTCCCAAATCTGAAACACACAGAGAACAGTAAAAAGAAAACTCTGCCACTGACCGGCTGTGTGACCTTGGGCAAGTCACGTCCTTCCTTGGCTGGACCAGATCAACAGTTCTCAAATCTAGCTGCATGATTCAGAACCACCTGAAGGAGGAAGTGGTCCCTACTGAGGGAGGATTCCCCATACTGAGGGAGGATTCCCCATGGCAGGGTCAGAAACCAGCACTTGCAGCAAGCTCCCAGGTGATTCTGACCCCGGCAGCTGAGGCCAGCTCTGCTGACCAGGCTCTCAGAACCCCAGGGCTGACGACTGGTGAGATCACTCTGCTGTCCTGCATGTGCGCACCGGCTTATCGTGAGTGTGGCCACACACCACCTCCGCGCCCTCCTCCCCTCCTGCGTGATGCTGAGACTGAGCTAGGCGCAGCGTGGGGCCGTGGGAGAGGAGGAGCAATGACCCCAGTGAGACCCGCGCGCCCCTGGTCCCTGACGGATACTGAAGCGGCTCACTGGCAGGCTCTGCCATCACTTCTGCCACCGTTTTCCTCTGACTGGACAAAAGGCTGGTGTGCTGTCTGGGGTGGAGGACACCAAGCCAAGCAAACGTGCTGAGCACCTACTGTATGCAAGGCACATACCCATAACCACTCCACGGCAGAGGGAGGCTTTTTGCCCAGAGCTGGAGTCTATGCTGGCGGTGACTCAAGCCACTTACAGGGACAGAGTGGCGTGGGGTCAGGAGGAAGGCCCACCCGAATGTCCCTAAAGGCCCTGGTGACGCTGTTTTCCTCATAGTTTCCTCAGCCACCAGCCCCCTCTGCCACTAGCCCTGCCTGGTTTTATGACAGAGCATAAAGCATGAAGATTAATGAACTTGACCATTTAAGAAACTGAAAACACAGAAAAACAAGCTGGAGATGAAGAGATATGACAAGGCTCTTTGAAAAGGCTGCTTCTTAACCCCCCCTCAGGATGGCCATTTCTGTTTCCTCTGGAATCAAATGCTACATTTTTCTCTCAACAGCATCAGGAACATATGGTCCATGCAGACGTGGAGTCTCAGCGGGCGCGGGGCTCCCAGAGAGACCGAGGCCAGTCCAGGTCAGTAGTCACTCCCTGAGCTCAGCCTGTGTGCTGCCGGCGCCTGGAGCTAGACAGGAGGAAAGCACAGCGCTGCCCTGGAGGCAGACTCGGCTGAAGTACGAGGTGCTGAGTTTCCCCGAGGAGGGTCGGGGAGCGTGGGGTGGGTAGAGTCACAGGCAGCATGAGCACAAGTTTTGGACCCCAGACAGGCCTAGGACCACGGTCCTCAAGCTTCAGTTTCTTCATCTGTGAAAGCAGACAACACTACTGGTTCCCTGGTGGCTCAGATGTGGAGAGTCTACCTGCAGTGCAGGAGACTCGGGTTGGTAAGATCCCCCGGAGAAGGAACTGGTGACCCACTCCAGTATTCTTGCCTGGGAAACCCCATGGACAGAGGAGCCGGGTGGACTACAGTCCATGGGGTCGCACAGAATCCAACATCACTGAGCGACTTACAGTACACTTAGAATCACGAGGATCAAGTTGGATAATAGACGAGTCTTAAAAAGAGTTCTTGACATTCAGTGGTCACTGAGTAAATGTATTATGTATCATTCTTTGTGGGGGCAACCCTCGAGATGATTCTAGAAGGATGAGTTGGAATTAGGAATAAAAGGTGAAAGACTTGGGCAGAGGTGTTCACACGGGAAACAGCACATGTACTGACACAAAGGTAGGAAGGCCACCCAACAGAGAGAGACGTCTTTGTGGCGGCAGTCCCAGTGGGAGGAGACGGCTTTGTTCAGTGTTTGGTGATGTGCGCTCTCTCTCACCATCCTCACAGCAGCTCCAGCAGGTGGGGACAGCCATCCTCATTATTTGAATGAAAAAACTAAGCTTAGAAAGGGTAGCTGACCACCTACGGGCCTCAGAGAAGGAGCTAAGACACAGACCCTGGCCATCTGAGCCCCCCATCCGTACCCGTGTTCTGAATCCTTTGCTAGGGGCGTGCCTTGGTTTTAGGGGAAAGGATTATTTTCTCGCGTACGTGTTGATTAACCCTGCCGCACCACCCCTCTCGTGGTTTCTCTTACTCTGTCCATCAGCAAGTTCTCTGAAGAATTCAGGGACAGCACTGCAAAGCAGAGGGGTCTGGCCAAGGGGCAGGGAGACACCGTGAAGCTGAGGATCTCAAAGAATCTAAGAGGAGGAGGACTCACTAGGTACATTAGAACCTATTAGTGTGGGCCGTGACTGTGAGAGCCAGGTTTGGAGTGGGTTAGGTGAAAAAAAGACCCTGATGCTGGGAAAGATTGAGAGCAGGAGGAGAAGGGGACGGCAGAGGATGAGATGGCTGGGTGGCATCACGGACATGGTAGACATGGGTTCGGGTGGACTCCGGGAGTTGGTGATGGACAGGGAGGCCTGGCGTGCTGTGGTTCATGGGGTCCCAAAGAGTTGGACACGACTGAGCGACTGAAGGTGAGAAAGAAGACCTGTGAGGACCCAGGAGCTGAGTATTTTGGTTGCTGGGAAAATCTTGCCTCCTTGGAGAGCGGTGAAGCCACCAGTTACCCTCAGGGCGTGGCACCAGGTAGGAGGAGCAGGAGTGCAGAAGTCTCAGTGGATTTTATCCAGGGAGAATCTAGAGACCAGCAGTCCTCTGGTTCTGCGGCACTCAGAGCGCAGCTCACAGGCCAGGCCCTCCCACGCACCATCTGCAGCTTCCTCTGGCATCATCTCTCTCACTCTTTTAAGGACCCCCACTGACAGCGAGAGGGTCAGCCAAGTCTTCTGTGGACAGACTAGCCTGGGTCTGCTCATCTCAGACCCAAGAGGAGTGAGGATCCCTCCTCCTCAATGCCACCAAGTGAAGGAGACGCACCCTTTGCTGCTCAGAGAAGAGATGGCACTGTTGGGGTGTCACCGGCCTCAGGTGTTTCACTGAGGCCATATTTCTCACTCTCTTTCTCACTTTGTGAATCACAGGCACCAGAAAGTACGTCCACCCGAACCTCACGATGTGATGGTATTTGGGCTTAGGGTCTTTGCCAATGTAATAAGGTAAGGATGTTGAGGGGAGATCATTCTGTATCAGGGTGGGCCCTGAATCCAAGCAAGAGCATCCTTCCAAGAGACAGAAAAGAGAAGACGTGAAACAGAGCAAAAGGCCACGTGAAGACGAAGGTAGACTTTGGAGTTTTGTTTTTAGCTACATCAGTTTGCCGACAAAGGTCCATCTAGTCAAACCTATGGTTTTTCTAGTAGTCATGTATGGATGTGAG